CCCCAAAACCCCAAAACCCCAAAACCCCAAAACCCCAACAAAGTTGTATTTGCTGAAAATAAAATATTAAAATTATTCTTGTACAATGGAGAGAATCGAAGCAAAGCTTAGTAATTTCATATTTCACCTTTGGATTTTCTTAAAATTCTTGAGATGTAGGTTTCTCATTTTTATAACAGGTAGCACAGCTAATACCCAACCAGATTATGACTTGAGCCAAGAAGTTGCTGGTAAGAGTTACCTTCTGACATTGTCTGTCTAGACTCGTCGATACCATTCCAGGCTGTGCCTAATGTGAGAAGAGTGACTGCTAAGACGAAGAAGTAAATATACTAAAGAATTCTACAGAAAGCAAAATAATAAAATCTCTAATTTTAAGATCTCTGATTTAGGTATTAACCTTCTTGATGATTTTTAGAGCTTAGTAAAAGCAAGCTAAGTCAGAAATAGAATTGACATTATTGTGAAAAGAGCATCAGCTTCACTAGAAGCAAAGCAGTAGGAAATATACACTAATAAACTCATTTTCTAGTCCTTCAAGAGGCGTGAAACAATCAAAGGTCTGATATAAGCCTAATGGAAGCCAAGGAAAAATCTTAATGGTCTCTAAAGATCCTCTTGCGAAAAATTCTAACAGTAAACCCAAGATTTCTGCAGTAACTACTTTATCTTCAAAGGCTAATAAGAAGGGAAGACTGAGTGAGGCTAAGAGTAGCATATCTCATAGCTATCTAAGGTCGAAAGGTAAGCGTCTACATTTTTATTACAGCAAGCTGAATCTCCAGAAACCATCGTATTAGATTGGCTAATAGTCATTACACTGCTTTAACTACTAGTATGAAGAATAAAAGTTGTGAAAATCGAAGGGCAAAATCAGTCCTAGGAAAAACAAGAGCTTATTTGAACAATACAGGGCCCGGAGAATATGATCTTCCTAATCTTTGGAAGCTCTCTGGTATTGGCAATTCTCGGAATAAATCAAGTCCTTGTTTCAGTATTGCTCAGAGATGTAAAACACCGATTCTCTCAAAATTCCACACTCAGGATATTATTGGAAAATGTAAGAAAGTTTCATAAGTTTTAGCAAGTCCTGGTGTAGGAACATACCAATCCCACCCGAAATTTATTAGCGGTATGCCTATCTGTTACCTTTAGGGCCTAAATACTCAATGTCATTAGATAAGAGATTTGTAGATTACAGCAAAGACAAATCTAAAATAGTTTCTTATTATACACCCAACGACTTCAAATAAGAGTTCTTACATTTTTGGATCTGATAGGTAATTTTCGTAGGTAAATTTAGTCGATTCAAATACAAGAGAGACCAAAAGTTAATCCTAGAAAAAGCTCCAGGACCAGGACAATACACTGCCTCAGGCTCATTTCAGAAGACTATGAGAAGAACTAATGGCTTTGGAACTTCGAAGAAATTTAGTAGTACAGTCTACTTCAAAGAACTTCAGAATGCTTATGTTTCTAAGCATTCTCCAGGACCTGGAGAGTATACAATCTCAGGAAGTTTCAATCCATCAAAAAGAAGCGGGGCTATAATCAGCCCATACTCTGTTATTTCCAGGAAGCAAGACTACAATCCATCTTTTATTCCTAAAAAGAACCAGTTGATTCTACAGGATCATGCTCAATTTGCAAAGCTTGTGAATAAATGTGGGAAGATCAAATTCTCAACGGCCAAGAGAGACTTTGACCCGATCCTGTTTAGTGCCCAGAACAAGGAGTTTATCATTAAAGGGATTCAGTAATTAGGAGTGAAGTTGGGGTTTTGGGGTTTTGGGGTTTTGGGGTTTTGGGG